CTGTGGGAGGAAAGTACGCAGGCTCAAACAGAGGCAAATGCAAGCGTGCGTGCGTGTGTATGTGTGTGTGTGTGTAAGTGGGCGTGGGCGTGTGTCTCGAGGGACAGAGTGATGGCTAATGTTGAACCCTTGAGTGTGTGGGAGGGGCTCTGCAATGTATATGTCGCAGGCGCTAGTGATGATCACAGCGCAATTTCTGGCATTAACTGCCTTAACTCCTCAATTAGACCCTCAGAGCAGGAACTTCAATGTTCCAAGTGCCCCTCTGTTTCCCAAAGTGGGTATATGGGTGGGAGGGGGTTCGATGCCTGGCTTCTGTTTTAGAAGGACCCAGGATCAGTGGAGCTGCAGATTCTCAAGGGTGCACTCACTTACAGGCAGGTCACTTGGCAGAGATCTGGGTATCTGGGCTCTCTGCTCTCTGGTTTGGCCCTGCTTCTTTGATGTGCTCCGCCAGTTCCGTGCTGCTGTCACTGCCAGGTTATGAGGTCGTGCTGCAGCTGGAGATTTCAGGGTGGTCACGTCAGTAGGAATCGGGGTAACCAGCCTTTCTGTTCTCTGGTTTGGCCCTGGTTAGTATTAAATTGGAGGGCTGATGTGCCCCGCCAGCTCAGTGCTGCTCCGCCGCCAGGTTAGAAAGTCCTGCTGTAACTGGAGGCTGGGTTGCTAGTTCAGATGCTTTCTGGGAAGTCCTGGGGTCTCTTCACTGTGCTCTCCAAGCTTCGGAGGCCCAGCGCCTGGTGTGTCTAGCTTGTATGGCGTTTCTGTCTGGTTTTGGTGAGTATATAGCGTATTCTCTGTCACTGTGGGATTGGGCGGGCCGTACTGTCAGTGATGGCGCTCCTGTGGAGCTAGTATGGTGTCTAGCAGACTCGGGCCCTGGGAGGATGGTGCAGCCGCTGCGCGTGAATCTGGGGCTCCGAGACACAGTACTGCTGGCCTTTGCCGATAAAGGGCTTGGGGCTCCGCCTCAGTGGCTGCAGGCCCCAGGCAGTTAGGTCTGTGCTGAGAAAGGCAAGTCCGCTGTGCTGAGGAGGAGGGAGGTCTGGGGGAGGGGAGTGCTGAGAGATCAAAGGATTGTTTCTCACCTTCCCCAAACAAGTCCCTGGGTGACCCGAGACCAAGGTTTTCACCTCCTGGGATGTTCCCTGTTGTTTAGAAAGTCTCTCCGTTGTTTCCCTGGCTTCAGAAGTTCTTCCACTCATCAACTCAGAACTTCATCTCTTCAACAGCTGGGAAACTGTGTGTGCTAGTCGCCATCTTGGCTCTGCCCCCTGATTTTAATTTTTAAGACAGCTTTAAATTATTAAATCTGTAAACAAAATCCATGTAATATGATAATTTAAAAAATTTTAGAAATAGATTGAGAAGAATATAGAAAATTAACTGGAGAAGTCTTGCTGCTGTCCTCTACACATTCTAGACTAATACAAAACGCATATGTGCCAGAATTCTACCATAATTTTTTCATTTGTAGTTTTCTTCTCTTTTTTAATGAAATATTTATTTTTTACATTAATTACATTTTATTCACTTTGTATCACTGTAGCCCCCTTCCTCATTCCCTCCCAATCCCATGCTCCCTCCCTCATCTCCTCCCATGCTGTTCTCTAAGTCCACTGATAGGGGAGGTCCTCCTCCCCTTCCATCTGACCCTAGCTTATCAGGTCTCATCAGGACTGGCTGCAAAATCCTCCTCTGTGGCCTGGCAAGGCTGCTCCTCCCTCATGGGGGTGGTCAAAGAGCCAGCCACTGAGTTCATGTAAGAGACAGTCCCTCTTCCCAGGAACTCACTTGGATACTGAGGTGCCATGGGCAACATCTGTACAGGGGTTCTAGGTTATATCCATGAATGGAACTTGGTTGGAGTATCAGTCCCACAAAAGACCCCTGTGCCCAGATATTTTGGTTCTGTTGCTCTCCTTATGGAGCTCCTCTCCTCTCTAGGTCTTACTAACTGCATGAGAAGAACCTTTTCACTTGATGCTAATCCTGCTATGTCAAGATGATTATCAGTGATTCAAAGTCTTCCTTTTGTGTCTCTTATGAGGAGCGGCTGTACCCTCAGACTATTAATTTGGTTCTATAATAAACTGGCTTTTGTCCCCACACCAAATGTTTTTCTTACTGGATATATACTATCTAGTAGGTTTTCTATCCCCTTATAGCTTAGAGTATAATCAAACTCTTCTGTTCTCTGAGAGAGGAAAGCCAAGCATTTTGTTTATACTTGTTTGTCAAGGCTATCACATCCTTATCCTGTATGGCCATTCAATTTACCTTTTTTTTTTTTGAAATTTTTTTTTTATTAATTACACTTTATTCATTTTGTATCCCCCCATAAGCCCCTCCCTCCTCCCCTCCCAATCCCACCCTCCCTCCCCTTTCTGCATGCATGCCACTCCCCAAGTCCACTGATAGGAGAGGTTCTCCTCTTCTTTCTGATCTTAGTCTATCAGTTCTCATCAAAAGTGGCTGCATTGTCCTCTACTGTGGCCTGGCAAGGTTGCTCCCCCCTCAGGGGGAGGTGATCAAAGAGCAGGCCAATCAGATCATGTCAGAGGCAGTCCCTCTTTCCATTACTATGTAACCCACTTGGACACTGAACTGCCATGGGCTACATCTGTGCAGGGGTTCTAGGCTATCTCCACGAATAGTCCTTGGTTGGAGTATGAGTCTCTGGGAAGTTCCCTGTGTTCAAATTATCTTGTTCTGTTGCTCTTCTTGTGGAGTTCCTGTCCCCTCCAGCTCTTACTATTTCCCACTTCTTACATAAAATTCCATTCACTCTGCCCATCAGTTGGCCATCAGGCTCAGCATCTGCTTTGACAGTCTATACTGCAGAGGCTTTCAGAGGCCCTACCACTAAAATCTGTACATCTAAACAAACTAAGCAAAAGAGAGGACCCTAACTAAAATGCTCAATCCCCATCCTGAAAGGCAAAGAGGATGGACATCAGAAGAAAAAGAAAATAGGAAACAACCTCGGAACCTGCTACAGAGGGCCTCTGAAAGCCAGAAGAAAACAGGAAACAACCTTGGAACCTGCCACAGAGGGCCTCAATTTACCTTTTTGTATTTCAATTATCCTCTGTGGTTTTTCAAGTTATCCTTTTGTATTTCTATCTGAATCAAGTCTCTAGATATTTATTAATTATGAAGATAGGTATAGATTGTTTAGTTCAAATCTATTTACCACCTCCTTATTTGATATGTGACATCTATCAACATTGGATAATATATCTATAAAATTATTCTGATCATTGTTTTTATCCTTATTACCATATAAGCATTGAAAGAATTTGAGAGCATTTTAAGTAAAGAAATGAGGCAGGTGGCTTGAATATGTTGCAATTATCCATTGATGTAGGTACTAGATACTACATTTACACATGTTATAGTCTACTTAATGTGGCATGGGAAGTAGGAGAAAACAAGTAACAGGACAGGAGCCTACCACAGAGGGCCTCTGAAAGTCTCTACCTAGCAGTGTATCAAAGCAGATACTGAGACTCATAACCAAACCTTGGGCGGAGTGCAGGGAATCATATGATAAAAATGAGAGTTAATATGACCTGGAGAGGACAGGAGCTTCAAAAAGACAAAATATATCAGGGCAGATGGGTCCTCTTTGAGACTGTTTCTCCAACCAAGGACCATGTTTGGATATAACCTAGAACCCTTACTGGGATGTAGCTTATGGTAGCTCAGTATCTAAGTGGTTTTCCCTAATAAGGGGAACAGGAACTATTTCTGACATGAACTCAATGACTGGCTCTTTTACCTACCACTCTCCCGAGAGAGGAACAGCCTTGTAAGACCACAGAGGAGGACATGGCAGCCAGTCCTGAAAGATACTTGATAAGCTATGGTCAGATGGAAGGGGAGGAGGGCCTCCCCTAGCAGTGGATTTAGAAAGGGGCAGGGAGATGAGAAAGGGAGGGTGGGATTGGGAGGGAATGAAGGAGGAGGCTTGGGGTGGGATACAAAGTAAATAACCTGTGATTAATATAAAAAATAAAATTAATTAAAAAAAACAATGTAGGCACACACAATTAATGAAATAGTTTATAAATTTATTAGAACAGCAAACTTGTAAAAATATGATATGCCTGGTGATAGTCAGAGAAGAGTACAAAGAGTGACCATGGCAAAGTGAGAAGGAAGTGTTATGACATAGTGGGGATGAATATAAAGGGAAATAGTAAGTCACTGATACTTCAAGGGAGCAAGGAATATGTTGTTTACTTTATTTTATATATCTTTGCAGTCTACTTATGTACTGATTGTGTTGGACATCTGTGAATACATATATGTGTGTGTGTGTTTGTATGATGAATATGTACATAGTGTCAAAATTATTACCATGTAATCAATAAGATAATTTGAAAGCATTTCAAGAAGAGAAATGATATATCCAAGACTGTTAGAGGAGGGAATATAAAATTTACAAAGACAATGGTTTTGAAACACATGGGATAGGTATAATTGCAGGATCTAAGAGGTGCTGAAGCTTTAGAAGACATTGAAGTCTCAGACTATAGATGTATCAGGTCTTGGCAATAGAGGAAGTAGGGGCATCCCTGATAGTGTGTACCCTGTGAACTGTTCGGTAGGGTGAAGATAGGATTTCATGAGACACGAAAATTTAAGAGGTATACGAAGGAAGGGGAAGAATGATGAAGATACGGCAGAAATGGCCAGGAATGTGTTTGATAATAGGGAGAATTACAGCTTGGTCTGGGTGGCTAGAGAAGAGATGAATACTATCCGGGATGAAGCAATATCTATGGCATTACTTCTGGAGAGCTCGTATGTTCACTGATAGGTTACCAAAGATGCTGCGCTGAAAGTTACTTCCACGGGGACACGGAATCTTGGGAGGTCTCGACCCTCAACACATTACTTTAGTCAAAGTAAAATTAAACTCTAACTTGGTTAATATAAAATCCGCATTCTCTCAGACAAAAATATAACTGACGTTTTTACCCTTTTTAAAGGATTTTGCAGAAAAGAAGTCTACAGCAAAAGCTCTGGAAGACGCAAAAGCAAACTTTTACTGTGAATTATGTGACAAGCAGTATAACAAACACCAGGAGTTTGACAATCATATTAATTCTTACGACCATGCTCATAAGCAGGTAAGCCAAAATAGGAAAAAAAATCCTTCTTCCTCCTAGATTTACACCTTCAGAACAGAACTGCAATGATTCGGCCTTATTTATTATCAGCTAGGACTCAGAGGTGAGATCATTTTATGTTCATTTCCTGTGAAAGGTTGTTTTCTGTTCAAATGTAGGTGAACTCATTTTTTTTTCCTTTGAAGCACCATAAAGTTGGAAGTGAATGTAGAGATTCTATAAGTGTAGTAATATGTAATTCATGTGTGTGTGTGTATGTGTGTGTGTGTGTGAAGCCAGAAACCAGTGAAAATAGTATCACATTCAATGTAACCAAAGTGGTTAGCAAGAGAGCTCAACCCCTGACTAGTACATAAACAGAATCTGAGGACAAATTGATACCAACCCTAAGATGTTTATTTTCTTTTTACCCCTTCAAATATTCCAAGGTGTATTTGGAAATACTGGGTCAGATAATTCAACAGAATAAAACTTGTTACTCAATAAATGAGATGTTTCCAACAAAAATTTTAAAAAGCCAAACATAGAAAGTCAATAGGTAAAGGCAAGTATACACTTCTCAGTTCATTTTCTTTAAAGGTCACATATGTTGTTCCTCATATGGCTATTGTTCATGTCTTGTTAGATATTTTTTTTCCTTCCTGGATGAGATATGGAGGTCTTGGTGACTTAGGAACAATGATTGCCATGTTTCTGTGACCAAGAAGGAAAAATCCTATGGCTAAATGATTATTTCTAAGAGTTATGGTGTCAAATGGAACTGACACATTGTAATCTATGGGTAAAATAATTATACTCTGTACCCAACACATATATTTGAATCAAATGAGATAAAATCCTTTTTATCATTAATGGAGCAAATGCTGCATAAGTGGCTTTGAGAAACCGAACACTGGTGATAAAACAGCTTCCATCCTGATGCACAGGATTTGTGTGATTATTGTGGTATTTCCCGAACATAGGCGAGATTGGTGCGGGCAATGTTTGAGGGTAGTAATGTCTGGCCCTGGTGTGTATCTTAAGCACCGTGGAATCTGTTAATAATAATGATTAGTGGAATCTCTGTTAGTTTTCTAATTTGATAGCTCTGAGATAGCTAACTGCATCCTGTAGTTGAAAGCATAAAACACTCAAAAGTTAACACAATGAATTATGTGAATAACGCATTTCTGTACTATTATTGTTTCCCTTATACCACGACACTATCCTTGCTCCATATTGCTATGTCAATTTGAAGTAAAATCCGAGTGAAATACAATGTTATCATGATTTTTAAAAATATAACATTATCATTGAGTTATCTTTTTCCCTCATTGTCTCATAAGTGTAAATTAAGGTAGTTTGAAATCAGTATACCTAAGTATCTACTTTTCGTATGTATTATGGGTTTTAAATTCTTTTTAAAATATTCAATCTATATTTCTTTTGCTACTCATTTACCATTCTTTTTTTTCTTTTTAAAAAAATTTTAAAATGTATTTATTTTTTAATTATAGTTCATTCACTTTGTATCCCAGCTGTAGCCTCCTCCCTCATCTCCTCCCATGTCCCTCCCTACTGATAGGGGAGGTTCTCTTCCTTCCCTCTGACCCTAACCTCACTCTTTACAAGCTGTTTGTCTCATGTGCGATTTTGTTAAATTTTTCTTCAAGTGCTCTGTTTTCCCATGTTTCTTAGCCTTCTTTCTGGGTTTTTGGAAAACTTGTCCTATTTGGAAATCTGGTCAAATTCAGATTTCTATTTTATTTTTGAAGGGCCATGTAGGGGAATACTGAATCCTTCCATGAAGACACAGAAGATGTCTGTCACTTGTGTTTGGAAAACATAACATTTATTATAAGTGGGCTCAGGTACTGTCAGTTTGATTCATAAATGAGCATTATAGCCAATTATGATCATTTGTTCACATCAATTACTCCATTTGAAGTTATAAGGTGGTTATGCAAAACAAAACAAAGACCTCTCACCTTTTCTTCCTTAATGGAATCAAATGTGTTGATTGAGACAAAATTTTTGTAAGCATTGCCCTCAAATTGATTTTATTCCGTTAGTTCTCCGGCTACATATTAATAAAAAAATACTGTGGGTATTCAGGAAAACAGAAGAGAATGTCTTATAAGACGGTGGTTTTGATCTTGAGCTATACTTTACACAGGCATGTCTATGTGTATGCACAGTTTGAAACTGAGCCTCTGCATGAGATGACATTGTTGACAGCAGGCAGTGTTACAGTGAAGAAATAGAAGATAATTAGTTTCCTGGTGAGAAGTGTATCAGCAGGCAGCGTCTGCTGTAGCTCAGAATTATGCCTAATCAATTTTCTTTCTATCTTCTTCTTTTTACTCATTTATATTGGTTTTCTAAGATCTTAATAGAACAGCCTGTTCTCAATCTTTTCATCACTTCTATACACTCACTTCCATTTATCTTTAGGCTTGTGTGTAACTTTCCACATCGTTCACTTTCATCAAACAACAACAGTGTTTCTTGTGTGTACTACTATGATAGGTAGGTAAAAGGATGGATTTGGTTTGTAGCTCCAGGAAACAAGCAGCATAATTGAGGGGACAAGCCAAAGAACATCATTACGCATTAACTCCTGTAGGAATTATATGCTGAGAGAATTCAAAATTGATAACACGAAACTGATCTTATAAAGAAGAGAAAATAAATCATCTAATTTTTAAAAAGATTGTATAAAAGTTAATCTCGTAACTAAAACCAGTACATCCTCTATGACAGGAAATCTACATAAAGGTATGATGGCAGTTATAAAGCTAGGTGCAAAGAAATACAAGCAACTTACATGCTGTCAGAGCTCCTCTTGGTAATTTATCTTTATGTAATTTTTTCAGTGCCTTATACTTGTTCCTCAGTCTTGCATTCTCATTTTCTCATTCTTCTTACATGTCACTACCACAGCCTCTAACTGATGCCTCTATTTTCCGTACTTTCCCTGTTTAAATTCAGCTTATCCACTTATGACCAGATTAGTTTACCACGTTCATACAATCGCTTCTTCATTAGGCCCTCTCCTGTGGTTGACCACTGACATTTAAAAGAGAACGGACTCATTCTGACCACTATTCATAATGCCGCAATTCGGTTTTTTTCTTTATTTCCAAACTTATCTCCTGGAATTCGACCACGTCTCTGCAGTTTTCAAAAAGACACCTTAGGGTTTTTCCATCTGCCGCCCTTGGCTCCTAGCCTTCCCTCTGTTTAGGCTACTTCTCCACTTAATGGCTTTATTTCAATTCATATTTCTCCATGTTTCACTGAGACTGGCAGCTTCTATCTGAACTTTAAAGGACCTGAGACATTGTGGAAAGCTAATTAAACATAGAATTCTTCAGGTTCTTCTTGCTCAAAATCAATTAGGATTATTTGTTGCTCTTCTTTCTTTAACAGTGTAATAATCTGCAGTAGCCCTTGTTAGTCTACTTCCGGGATAGTGTGGAAATGCTCCTTTTTAAAGATTTATTTTGGCCCAAAATATTTTGAAAATCACTTAAGTTTTAGAGGAAAATGAGCTTAAAATTCTTTTTTTAAATGAAAAGAAACTCTGTGTTCTGAAAACTCAGCACTCGTTAAAATAAAATATGCAAAAACAATCTCCAAATTTCAAAGCTAAATACAACCATTTGGTTCTTACTTCATTAAGAACTCTTCTTGACAGGCATAGTGATTATGACGATGGTGGGATCTAACTAGGAATAGCTTTTGGCCCGAATAATAGAAACGGCTGCCAACATTTTTCTTCCATGTGGATTCAGATGAAATTTCTTGCCTCTGTTGTTGGGTTTCCAGTAATATGATCTCCTTTTTTGAGATGTAAGTCTAAAGTTAGAATCCATTTCTTACTCAACAGTACAACAAAGTACAACCAGAAATAAAACAACCTTTGAATTCTTTTATCTTTCTTTGATTCATTATCCTGCAATTTTAAGATATTTCTGAATCTTAAATGCTTTCTGTTTCTAAATAGCAATATTGTATACCTGATTATTTTATTACAAAGATGTTGTTCATGGATACATTTCATTTTTATTATTAATTTACTGTGTGTGTGTGTGTGTGTGTGTGTGTGTGTGTGTGTGTGTGTAAGTAATTGCATAAATGTATACGCACCAGGTGAGTAGCTGATTCCCGCAGAGGCCTGGGGATAGCCTCAGATGCCCTGGGCCTGGAGTCACTAATGGCTGCTGACCCACAGCCTTAGTTACACAGGGACATATTTTAATTCCGCAGAAGTTAGTAAACATATAGCTTTAAAGAAGAAAATACAAATCTTTGTTGAACACTCAGTAGTTTCTATAACTTGATCAAGAATTGTGCTACTCTGGTGTTATTTACTGAGAAATTTTAGCTCATTATCAACACATCTGAGTTTTTAACTCTCTTCCATGAGGAAATATAATGAAGCTCTAGCTTTGACAACCTGTTTCTATTCATAGCTCATGTTTTGAGAAAATAACTCAGTTGTTTCATCAATAGCCCCAGACATCTTCTAAATACTTACAAATGCTGAGCATCATTCCAAAAGCAATTTCAATGTGTATATACATGACAGTCCCTTGGCTAAAGCAACACTGTAATTATTAATACAGTGAACATGTCAATAGCAATTAATTCCGCAGGAGCTCATCTTTAGATCATATCATTTACTGAAGACTATTCCCCGAAAATGTTTTATATTGAAACATTATCATTCATCTTCATGTTGAAAACTCTTCCCCAGAGACACTATTGTTCTTCTAAAATTAAAAACAAACACATACAAGCTAAATCACCCTGAAACACCTCTGGTATTCAGGAAGAATCCCACTTTCGGACTCTCCGCATGTGGTGCTTAATCCCCCTAATCTCCGTTGGCTTTACACAGGATTTATTTTCACACTTGTTTAGTTGTCAGTCTTAGATGCAAACTCAAAATGACTCATTTCTAAAATGTTATTTTGGATTCTTTTTTTTTTTTCCCTCTACCGACTACAGGTAGA